CGCTGAATACGACTTCATAATTGTCTATATTTCTTAGTATTAAACCCATATATATCTTTAGTACATGTAAATTTATTTGAGCCCTCGTTTAGCAAAATTTGAAATATTGAATCAATTGCATACCTCTGCAATCTGCTAAAAGCACCATCACATCAACGTTTTTGTAATCATTTATAACCTGCAATCAAAGTAAAGAGCTTCAATGGAAAGGGTATAGGTAAAAAAGAAAAACAATAACCAAAACGAAGAGAACATATCTGTTTAGATCTAAATCCATGTATCAACATATTCTTGTTATTTACACACAACGTAAAGCACGTAAAGGTAACATAATAATAATAATAATAATAATAATAATAATAATAATAATAATAATAATAAAGTATCTGAACAAGAAGAACCATTTAGGCTGGCAATATACCTGATTAAGGACCTTGACACCAACGGCGTCGGTGTACATCATGGCTGAGCAGTCAAGAACTATATGGCTAATATCAAAATTCGGTGGCTCCTCTTCAAACACAGGAATATCGTCCGACATGTGGTATTCCTCATAACCTCCAGTCTCTGGGTCTTCCTCGATAGCTTGTAGATATCTGCCGCTTACAACCGGTCGGGGATCCATTGATGTTTGGGGGGTGCCCTCCTGTTAAGAAAATTATCAATACCGAGGATCAAGGTCAGGGTAAAGGTCAGAGTCAAGGTCAGAGGTGAAAGACCACATAAAATTCAAATAAAAAATGGCATTTTATATGTTAAAAGTCAAAAGTCACAGATAAGTGGTTTTAGCTGCCTGATCATATAGTAGGAAGAAATTACGTCAAAGTTCATATGCCAGGGGTCATGGTCTTAACGTCTAAGGCCTTGTATTCATTAAATGATAACATTTGAGTAAGCACAAAACGCTAATAGCTAAACAGTCAATATATGGTCAGTGACTTCAAATTCGAAAAGTGGAAGCTAAAATAAAACTAATGGCATGCATATGGTCTATAATTTGTCATTTTTAATTTTCTGGATTGTAATTCTGTTTTTTCATATGGCCCACTGGTACTTACATGATAATCTTGGGCTCTAACAGGATTGACTTTCACACTAAACTCGGAATCTAGTCTCACTCTGTCCTTCCTAAAGTGTAGTGCCTGAATTCGATGATATATATGAGAATTCAAAAATATTTAAAAAAATAATTGCATCAATAAATATTTTTGTTTAGAACATAGGTTTTCTATACGTAGCAGAAACGCGGGCTGTATTATATTGATCTGCATTTAATCAGTACATATCTTTGCGAGTGCAGAATTTATTCTGCCAATTATGCAACTACAGTGTCATGTACTTGTTTTTCTTTTGTCAAACTTCTAATGTTTTATTGATTATTTTTAATATTGTACACGTTTACCCCTCTCTCTCTCTCTCTCTCTCTCTCTCTCTAAAAATTTCCCAAATGACATAATAATAGCAACCCACGTTAAAATTAAATTATCCCAAATAGATGTGAAACATATGATTCTGTCAGCTGGGGTACCCACCTTCTTCAAAAAGCTCAAGGGTCCACTTGGTTGTGCTTCTTGATATTCGCTGGTGTTGGCAGGTGGTGCAGGGGCCGTGGAGGAAACGGGGGCGATGTTGATCCCGTAGGAAGTGTCCATTCTTCTGAAGGGTCTAACGGTTGGACGACCAGTCGAGATAGTTGGGATTTCCTGTGTGGGAACGACGTGGGAAGGTTGCGGCGATTGGAGTTCAAGACTTGTCTGAGACTGAAAGGTACGTGTAAACACTGTGATAGATAGATTTGGAAGGTAAGGAGATGCTGTGGTTAGTAGGATGGAAGGTTCCGTTTGAATACTGTAGATACTGGGTAGGTACATGTGGAAGGTAACTTGATAGATATATAGAAAGATATGTACTAAAAGGTACGTGTAAACACGATGATAGCTCTGGAAGTTAAGGTGCTGTGGGTAAGGTAGGTTCCGTTTGTTTACTGTAGAGAGGTACCTTTAAATAAAGATAGATAAGAACAGACATACAGACGGAGATATAGATAAAAAGATATATGCAGCAAAAATGTCAACTGCTGGGCAAAAGGAGTCGATAAATCAGTACAAGAATCTTTACATGCTTTATACGATACACAGTAACACTTAGTGTGACCCATATTCATGGACATTATTACTATACTTTTATTGCAAACGAAAAGTCACAATACGCTTTATAACACAATACATGCCGATCCTCAACTTAAAAACAATCTTAAAAACAAAGGCACCTCACATGGAACCTAAACAGACCCAGATACTGGAATGGACAAATCACTTGGCTGGATATTAGTTGCTGCAGAAATTATTCTTAAAATAATGATTGCATACCAAATTGGCTTGACTGTCTGAACCACTCGGCTTCTTATCGTCCTGTTTCCCACTGTCTTTTTCTTTCTTCCTCAGCTGCTTCTGCACGCGTTCCTCGAATCTGTTATGTTTGGAAAAGCACACTTTATCAAAACGATTGCAGCGATGCTTGGAAATATACATTTTAAGGGGAATGTGGTTTTAATCCCCGTTTAATACTAGAATTCGTCAAAAATCTTATTGACTTAACTGACATGTTCAACGGTTATTCGGTTTAACGGCTATTCATGAAAGAAAATTTCTGTTTGTTCTTAGGTAGTTTCCAATTTGTAAAATAAATCATGCTTTTTCAATTTAACCATTATATATATATCTATATATCTATATATATATATATATATATATATATATATATATATATATTGCACTAACCTGCGCTTTCTTTTACCAAATTTCCTCCTATCTTTCTTCAGTGCCAGCGGGTTTGCATTGGTCAACTTGAACAGGGATCGACGAAAGTGATCTGCATTGGCGTAATACAACGAGGCCTCAAAATGAAATATTTTGATCCCGTCAAGCTCTTTCACCTAAAAGATAATCAAATCAATTATGAATTCACACAGTGTGGCTAATTTTTATAACAAAAAAATTCAATTTTTCTGGGCAATTGACGACTTTCCACTTTCTAGACTTCGAGTTTCTAGATTTTGAGTCACTCTGAAAACGAAAGTAGCGATTTTTAAATTTCGCTAATAGCGGTGAAATCAGATATTAAGAACCCTTAGAATTAAAGATCGTAATTTTAGGCGCTTAATTTATATCAATGTGCCGGTTTCTACCATTCCCTTATAATTCAAATATTTTGGGAATATTTTTGAAATGCATCATTTAAATCATACGTCACCCTTGAAGAATACTTACATATTCATATTTTGTTTTGTCTCTGTATATGTCAGAATCATCTGCTTGACCATATAAACAACAGTATGGTCTGGAATAGAAACAAAATATTATTTAGTAATAGAAGATTGTTTTGTATCTTAAGAGTGAAAATTTCGCTGGATCAATAGCATGTTTTCAGACGCTAACAAACAATCTGCCTAAATAATCAGGAGAAACAGATTGTTGATATCACACACACAACAAACGATAAATTGTTATTGGTGATTTTGTGTATCATATTGTTTACGGCGAACTATAAGTTAATTAGTTGAAAAAATGTACAGATTCACCATGTTGTATGCTTCCTATTTTTATTGTACACTTTGTTTATTAAACGCTAATATGAAAAATTCCGAGACGCCTTTTGTCATGGAATAATTTGGCAACTGAACCACAACAAAACAGATATGAATTTTACATAAACTCACCTTGCAGACCTCAATATGATTGTGAAAAGCGAGAAGCCTACTCCAGTAACAAGACCGATATCAACACCAAGAAGCAGCACAGCTAGGTACATAACTATCCACATAGCCTTGAAAAGAATGAAATATAACATGGATGCTACCGTTACATCATAATCCCAAGTTTAAACACTTCACCTTTTACACAAAACTGAATATATATATATATATATATATATATATATATATATATATATATATATATATATATATCGACGAAAGCTTCCAGACGCGTTATGGCTCATAATCATTATTAACGGACAACACAGATGAATTTCCATCAGGATGCTTTGCATTGCAGAGATAATCTCTGACAGCTCTATTTTAACTACAAGTACAAACATCTTGATGACAAAATAGGGATTTTTATTCTGAGAATTTTACTACTCTGGGTATTTTTTATCGCTACTATCATGATGTGTTAGTGTAAATCTTAATTCATTTTTAATATCCAACGTGCCATTACCTGCAAGTGCTACAACATGTTTTATGGATTATAATATTCTGATATGATCTTCCTGTCTGGTGGTTTAGTCTGGCTTTTTGTTTGTCACGATAGAATACAAAGTTCAAATTACAAGTGTATATATATATATATATATATATATATATACATATTTCGATACTTACAAAATCATATTTTGATATATTCCACAGTTTTGGGAGATCTTTGTACTGCATAAACATCCCTTTCAAAGCAACCAACACAATGCAGGCTAATATACACTGAAACAGGAAGAACGATATAAAAGATAAAGTTCCTACATGTACATCGATCCTAAAAGAAATTAAGGTCAACATCCCTTTAAGTCACAGTGGCGCTTCAAAACGGATAAAAACACCTACGTGTCGTACATATTGTTTAGTAGTCCTAAAACAGTGACGTCTTATTTTGGAATTCTATGGATACTTACACGAGGTAGAGTTCGGAAGAGAGGCCCCACGAACAACATCACAACTAAAGTCAAGATACTGTTCAGGAGACCCGACAGCTGGAAAGTAAAAAAATATTAATAATTAATATCAAATACAGATTTCATAGCTAATATATGTGGATATATGTTTGTACATACATCAGCAAGCACGTCTGTACAAACCTAGAGTTAAGCTTTTAAGTTAGTTCAAACCTTTACTCAGGCTCTTCAGTTTACTAAAGGTCGGACCGTCTATTTAATACGTACCTGAGTGTTAACACCCATGGAATGTTGAACCATACTCCTAGACATAGCACCTCCACAACAGAAAGTACTGAAAAGTGAGCCCACCGAGTTACAAACGCCAAATGCCAAAAGCTCCTGGAATAAGAATGATCCAATGATTTACCAAAAAGTAGGCCCTACAAAACGACATCTATATAAAGAAAACATAATTGAGCGATAGCTTGGTTCCTTTTGTTGATCCGATATGTATAAAAAATATTCGTAAAAACTGTGTTCAATTTCTGATATCTGATCTTAATATAATACACTTGACTAGAATTCTTATCGACATTCCAGTGATCGAAGGACGCCAGATGTCTGGAAAGTTTAAGCATATAATGATAACGGGTATACACATATATCTTTTGGCGATTGTCAATCTATTTAATGTGCATACAGAATCGCTTTTGAACAAAAAATTAATCCACGATAAAACGTACTGCAAATTAGAATAATATTAAATAAATGTCAAGCGGCTTGAGAGCTTACGTCTGTATCACTTTGCTCTATTGTTTCTCCAACCACCCAGCAAACACACATCGCTGTTATAACGTTGCCATAACCAATAAACGTTATGTTATATAACATTAAGGTAACGTTATAAAATGTTCTGTGTTTTAAAGGAATTAAAAAAAAACACTCACTTGATCAGGATTTATTTCATAATCATGCAACTTCCCCAACAGCTTCCCCAGAGATACTGAGATGGTGAAAGAGATCAGAGCTATCCAGAAGGCATCAATAATCAGCCACAGGTAACGGAGATTATTCAGCGGTTCCAACGTCGGGGCGGGGATTCTGGAGTGAAAAAAGGTAATAAACACGCATACCCTCCAGTATATAATTAATTCGCTGAGGTCATATGTCTGTACGATATTTCTGATGGGGGTTCGAAGATCGGTGCTTTCCTACTGATTAAAAGGGTTGGGCTTTTGTACTAAAAAGTTAAAATTTTAATGTTATGTGTCAAGAAAAAAAAATAATCTCAGTTAAATCAGTATTCGTCAATATAAATGGTAAGCCTTTTTTTATTTTGATGTTTAAGGACATGTCTACATTGTTTTATATGTTGTCTTATTGTCATACATTGAGCTTGGGGGGAATAATATACCAAAGAGCATATTTCCGCCACATCACAATGTCAAATAACGCGAGCGTACTATAGTGGAATAAGAATAAAATGCTCTAGCGATGTGAAATACAAATACTGGTATGGACGTACTAAACATCTTGGTTAGAGTAAAATCTATAAATTTTTCTAGAGGAGATTTTAAGATACTCTGACTCGCAAAGTCAAAGTAGCAGGAATGGGTATTTCTTACGGGAATTAAACCAAGTCTTTAACATACAATTTGAAGAGACATGAATTCATTAGTATGACTTGCAGCATAGGGTACAGTACCCAAGTATTACGACTGCTATTGCTGTGTACTGCAAAATGAATTATTATGATTACTATTAGCATATTTTTGTTCCGCAAAATGAACTATATATAGCTGAGGGCATATATATTACTCACCCTGTAGGTATATCTCCAACGATAGCTACGCCATAATTGTCAGGGAGATTGCTCGTGAAAGACACCAATGTGCCAACAACAACCTGAAATCGTTTGAAGTCGCAATATTAATACGTAAACATATACGCAACAGGGGAATAAGTCAGTATCGTGAAGGTTTAAATCCACAAAATGAAATTAACATTGATAACAAAATGCATACCGGTATAACATGTATGCAACGGGCATTTTGTCAAATATATCTGTCAGTATCAGTTTATAGAGATCGGGGGCATTCTGTATTTTTGTATCTATCCCTTTATTTAATTTACCTAAATGCCACGTTGCACAATCTCGCAGACAATATACTACATGCAGATTTTTTTAAACCAAATTGCTATGAGATTTTCACATTGTGAGTCATCCTCTGGGTCTTTCTGTACGTAAATCAAATGTGCCTTTATACCTATTTTTTAATTTGGACATTTTGGATTGCTTTAATGCCAAATGATGGTACAGTTTTAAGTCTACAATAGATGTGCTTAAGCGACAAAGGGCATGAGTCACAGTTTGCATTCACTTCTCTTAATGATGTGAAACATGTATCAAGGATTTTGTAATTAAAGCGCATATCGATGATATCTAATCATCTACATGTAGATCAAAACGCCCATTCTACAGATAACAACACTTTACTTCATCAATAAAGCTGCGGTAGATAAACTTTCAAGTTATTTGTAAAATTCCTGTGTTTTATGTCTATTTTAATTATCCATTTATCCATCTATTCAAAACACACCGACACAAAAAGGTAGCACAAATATTAAAAAACAGCTTTACCACAAGCAGCTCTATTGGCACTGGCATTTTCAGTTTGGTTCTTTGGCAACGGGAATTGATGCACTCCTTCACTATTAACAACGAGGCTATGGTTATCATTGACACGAGGAGTTCGGCAACATTGGTGTCAAAAAGATTCAAAGCCAGATGGTAATATGTCTGAAAGATTAGGCAACAGATAGTTATCGTAATCGGAATAGACGTTATTATACTAGTGTGTATCTTATTAAAATATGTCAAAATGCCTACATAAAATTTTCTTACAAAACATTAGCCACAGATAAAATTCCCATGAATCGCTTAAAACCAACGCAAACGAGCACAAGCTGCTGCTGTAATAACCTCAAGTTTTCAATTTTTCAATTTTGAATTTCCCACCCAAAATACCAAATTTC